TTACAAGTTTTATTTGTTATGATCAGTAAGTGTTTACATGAAAAAAAAAACCCCAAACCCTAACTGACTTCATTCAGCCCTAAGAGCAAAACATTGCGATTTGATTTTATTATTGGTGGTTTATTTCATTTACACAACTCTTTGCCATTTACTGGGTTTGTCTTTAGCAGCTGACCTGATTTTTTTTTTTCTCTGCCCAATAAGGAACCAGCAGCTCTTGCTGTGCTGTTGGTACACAGTCGCTGGGAGTTAAGATGGGAGTTAAGCTAAACTGTGAGTTAATCTGTGAGTTAAACTGTGAGTTAAGATAAGCTGTGAGTTAAGCTGTGAGTTAATCTGTGAGTTAAGCTGGGAGTTGAGCCTTGCTCAAATGTTTGACCACAAACCTGTGTTATGACGTGTCTGTCCCCAGAGGGCCCATGGGCTGGTCCCTGTGACTCTCACCATCCTCCTCCTCAAGGTCTGGGCCAGGAGGACAATGAGGATGGGGAAGGGATTTGATTTGAAGCCATGTGAGGACACTGAGGGCACTTGGTGTGTTCAGCTGAAAAAGGGGAGACTGAGGGGAGAGCTCATTGCAGTGACAACATCCTGGGCAGGGGCAGAGGAGAGGCAGGGACTGAGCTCTGCTCTGGGTGAGCAGGGACAGCACCCAGGGAATGGCTGGAGCTGTGTCAGGGCAGGCTCAGGTTGGATCTCAGGGAAAGGTTCTTCCCCCAGAGGCTGGTTGGGCACTGACCAGGCTCCAAGGCTGACAGAGCTTTAAACTCTGCCTCTCTTTTTAAAATTGCATTTTGTGCTTTCAACACCAGATGTCGCTTACCCAGGTCCTTTTTAAGGGCTGAGGCTTAACCACCATGAATTTAAATCAGATGGAGTTGAACCATGAAGAAAGAAAACTTAAAGGCTCTGCATGACCTTAAACAGGGCTGGAACAAGGCAGAGCTCAGAGTGACAGAGGGGCTATTCATGTTTCCATACTAAATGCACAGCATATGGATGGATGGGATGGAAAATGCCTGGAAAAGCTTTCTTGGACAGCTTTCCATAGGAGCCAAGCAGCAGCAATGTATCTGACAAGGGGAAAATTAGAGAGCTATGGAAAGGGTTTCTGGTAATGTAGATAGTGCTTCAAAATGTCAGTGGATTGAGGTACCTGCTGCAATCTTCACTTGGTTCATGCTAAAAAAAACCCCAAACATCTTAATGTATGGCTATTCTTCCTCTTGGGGAAAAAAGTTAGAGTCTCACCCCCAGGAACTGATATCCTGGTTACTCAGAAGCCATGACAGAGTTGGGGACAGCTGGTAGAATTCATAGAGATATTGGCTTTTACTGATTAAAAAAAAACAAAACCAAACCCTAAAATAAAACCTGTGGATACAAGGAAGCACAACCCAATTTCTGAAGAATGCAGCTCAATACTGATCAAGTGATGTTGAAACAGAGACAACCAACCACAGGTGGCAAGATGGGGCAAGATAACCATCACATCCCACCAACACTGTCGCTGCAGAGGATAAATGGTGTGTCCTAAACTCAGCAAGAATTGCAGGTTTAAAGGCAGTATTATATGAAGTCTCTGAAAAGTTCCTCGATAACGGGCCAGAATTTAGATTATTTAATCAATTTTCAGTGCAATGTAGCACTTCAACGTTCACCCAGAGGAATAGGCTTGGAATGAAAAATCTGCTATTTTATAGAAAATAATTTGAATCACTGTGCTGGACAAAATCAAGACTATCAGTCTATTCAAGCGTGAGGAAAAAATAACCCACTGACATTATCTTTGTATTCTTTTACTGCTAAAGTGATACAGATTCCAGCCAACTAAAGTTCTCTTCCTTTTACTGCCTTGAGCCCTCCTGTGATAGAGCCAGCAGCAGCAGGGAAATGTTAAAGGTGCATCATAATTAAACAGGCCAATAAAGTCATTGGAACCTGCCCTTGTCAGAGATGCAACAATGTGACAGGAATTGCTGCACTCCCCCAAGAGAATGGATATGTACCAGTTCTACCAAGCATTTAGTGATGCATTTATATAGAAAATTACATAAGTGAATATATTTTGATATTTTAGATAGCTCAGCCCACAGCCAAAAGGGCAGCAGAAGTTTGAGAAGCAGCCACACGTGTCTGTGGTTGGTACCACAATCCACTCACCTCCAACATCCCAAAACCAAAGCTGGCCACACATCATAAGGTGTCTACTGGGAAAAGAGACCTTCTCACCCTCGTGATACACTGTTATCATCTCCATTCCTCTCATTAGCTTGGCTGGGGGCCTCTTCCACACCACACTCCTTGCTGCAGCTGGGATTTGAACACCAGGAACCTCTCCTGGCACTTCCTATACCCAGAGCTTTTATTGCAATGTCTTGAAATTAGTCTCCTATTTCAGCCTGCTGCTACATCAGCCAGTTTCTGTCACTGCATTAAGTACAAATAAACTCACATTGTACAGTCTATGCCTGTTTACACTATTTGTCATTTAATCCCCCAGCACTTAGAAAGCCTCTAATCTTTCAGTGTGTTGGAAGAATTGAACACTTAGCCTCAAGTACAGGAAAAAATGAGGAAACAAGATGGAAAATTAATATTTATACAATACATGGAAACACACACCATGTTTTACAGAGGTCTGAACACTGGGATTCTTCTCCAGCCTTACAACCTCAATCCTGCTTTTTAATCTAAAGGTCAAACTGTACCTGCAAGTTTCCAAGATTTCAGGTCTTGGAGGCCAAGAGATTCTCATTCAACAACACTCAACAGCACAAACCCAAACCACAACTGCACTGGTTCAGAAAACCACTGGGGTTCACCACTTCTGACAACAGAATGTTAATACCCAGCCCTATGGGCACCTGTCAGAATTTGATATTTTTTAAACTGTCTACTCATGCATAATATGAATATTTATTCATCCCTCTCTGGTTGTTTGCCAGAAAGTTATTTTAAGCTCCTTGGCTGTGGTGTAAGATATTCCCCTCCTCCTCCCATCCCTGCCTACTCTATCTGTGAACTGTTGGCATCTCTCCTTGAGAAGGAAAATTAAAAGAAAATAAGGATAACCTGTAATATTAATGGAAGAACACAGGAAGGTTACAAAAAAAATGTCTTTTGACCTTCACAGTTTTTTACTCAATGATATAAGATGAGTTAGAAGAGAATGTAGGCATATCTTAAGGTCAAAACCCACATCAGCTGATAGATTAGTCTTTTCATCCACCACAAAACTGAGTTAAAATAACTAATTCAGTCATATTTCTGCCCAAACTCACTCGTGTTTTACTTAGGGCAGAAAAACTCAAGCATTACAGTCTATAATACAGTATTTGACACAGTTCATTTGGAGTTCAGAATAGTTTCTGCTCCTTCCTACTTTTTATGGGCTCGGCTCAGAAATTGCATTTCTCAGTTTGCTGTTAATATCCATCCCCATCCTGGGCTCCAGAGTTTATTCTCTGCTCCATGCACACGTGTCGCTCCCATTAATGCTAATGGAATGGAGTTAAAAGGGAGCACTGAGGGAGAAAAAAGCACTTGCTAATCCTTTATAACCTGCCCACCAAGGGAAGTGATTTGTAAACCACGTGAAGCCAAGGCTCAGGTACCACAGCGGCCGACTCCTGTGCCGGGAGTCACGGGCAATTCCGTGGGCACAGGGAGGGAGAAAGGAAAAGCCCTGAACTACAGAACCTTGACTCTTCAATGACAGGAAGGAATCACTGCTTTTTTCAACAACTGGCTTTTTTTACAGTAGTACAAGTGGTCCCTGAGCTGCAGCCCTGATTCACCCCCTCAGTGTCTCACAGCATGTGGAAAACCAGGATAACCTCAATTGTGCCCAGTCTGGAGATGAACAGCTGTGAGCACTCTCCACCCTGCTGCCACCCGTGTGGAGCCTGGGGACGGGCATTTGGGCTGGGTTTGGCATTTTGCTCTCCAGTTTTGCTGCTGATCACAGGTAGCCCAGAGAAGCTGTGGCTGCCCCATCTCTGGAAGTGTCCTGGGCCTGGTTGGACGGGGCTTGGAGCAACCTGGGCTAGTGGAAGGTGTCCCTGCCCATGGCATGGGGTGGGATGAGATGGTCTTTAAGATCCCTTTCAACCCAAACCATTCTGCGATTCTGTGGTTCCACGACCCTTTTGCCAACAGACAAGGTCTGGTTTATGTTCTTGTTCCCTCAGCAGCACTTTCCCAGCTCTTTGCTGCAGGTGCCTCCTTAGGAAAACACAGATTCAGAAAAGGCAGAGTCAGCTCATCCACAGCCCTAATGCTGGTCCTCTTTTCTCTATTTTTGTTTGCAGGGACCAGCGTGGGCACAGGCAAATGCCATACAAGGTACTCAAAACAACCCCAAAACCCAAAGAACTGTTGGGGCCCACATGTTCCCCTACAGGCTTCACAGAATCCCAGACTGGTTGGGGTTGGAAGGGACCTCTGGATGTAACCCAAGTATAAAAAACATGAGATAAAACTTGCATTGAAATATTTTTAACTATTCCCTATACACGATACAAATATTTGACATGGAGAACCTCTAACTGAATATGATCCATCAATGCCAATACACAGGAGAATTAAAACTGACAGCACTAGAGCTTTGTGATTGATCTATGGCTTTGTAATCAATCTTTCCTTATCTGTTATCCAATATAGGTTTTTCCCCAAATAAGAAGGAGATAGACTGTGATTGTAAGTGTAATAACCTATATGTTCATTGCCTATAATAATTCATCAGACACTGGACTACACATAAGGGGGCCAAAAATTCATTCAAGACATTTGTCAGTGTCTCTCACTGTTTATCAAACCATTCCTTTAAATGTCTTTGTCAGGCGTTGGAACTTTTGAAAATCACAGTTGCCAGAACACGAACGCACACGAATAAACACTTGGAATTCCTGAGACGCAGAAATGCGGCCCTGGGTAAGGAATAATGAAAGCAAATTGGACTTTGTGCATCGACCATGGACAGTAAAAGCTGCAGTTACCTTTCACCACCAGGCTGCCCGTGCTGCTCGCCGTCCCAAAGTGGTTGGTGGCCACGCAGGTGTAACTTCCCGCGTCGGATTTGGTGACGTTGACGATCCGGAGGCTCCCGTCATCCAGGATGGTGATCCTGCAAAGGCAGCAGACAGGGAAGTTTTAGGGTATTTTTTAAGCCAACAGTGAGCTCCTTTGAGCGTGCACTAATTACGGGTGGTCTGAGCAGCAGATGCTGCGCTGGCCCTCGCAGGGGGAGTGCAGCCGAGGGAAACCTCTCCGGACGTGCTTCATAAATACTCATTTACATGAGTTTTCTGCGTCTTTACTCCAGGGCAACTTTAATTTACACATCAGCAGCTCGTGTGGGTTTTGCACATGCCTGTACTTCGGTGTTCAGCCCTCACCATGACAACCCCTGCAACACGTGGCACCCGGGGAAATCTTGCGCTAGCTGCTCCCGACGCAGGCGCCGCTGCTGAGCAGCTGCAGTGAAACAGGTGTTTCAGTGCTGCCTTTTTTCCAGAAGCCTGATGGTTTTTCAGCAAGAGGACCATGATGCCAAGCTTACTCTCCACCTCTCTGCCTGTGCAGAACTCAACCCACAGGTCATCTCTGCAGTGGTGCTTGCAGGTTAAAAAAGAAATTATCCTGTTTCGTTCCAGTCCTCTCCCAACCCACCTGTTTCCTATCTGAACAGTGTTATCTGCAGTAAGACACATCTCTTGAGGGCAGGAGGCAGATGAGGATGGAATGTTAAACCTGGAGTGATCCCCTGCCCCTCCTTTTGCACAATGGCTGCACCTCAGGCTCCCCTTGTTCTCACAATGAGCTTTGTCTCTTGTTCCAATTTTTTTCTGCTCTGACTGAGCCAACACAGAAAATCTGATGCTGCCCAGTAATCCCAAAAAACATGAATGATTTGTGCCCTGTGGAGGCATCATCTAAGGAGACTCCAGAAAAACCTTTCTCCCAGCCTGTTATCACCTCTTTCAGCAAAATCCCTGTCTGTCTCCTCAGTATCATGTCCTGCAGCACAGTCTTTCTCACCCTCAGCTACTTTCAGACCTGCACTGAAAATCTTGTCTTAATTCCTACCTTCTCCTGGTCAATTATTTCCCTGTTGAACTGAAATGAAGGAGCCTTCCTGCATCCTTAATGCCAAAGCAGCTCTGCTCAACTGGACTGAGAAATCAGGAGGAGAAAAACTCAGCAAACAGCTCCTGCACCACTGCAGGAGGGCTCAGGTGGCACTTCCCACCTGAGGAGGCTTTAAGGGACAGGAACCAGCTGGAGCCTTTTCTTGCAGCCATGGGACAGCCCTGAGGCAGCTGGATAAAGGACCAGGGTGAGACAAGGCACAAACAAAAGCACCAAGACCACCTTGGTGGGGCTCCCCAGGCTCCTGCCAACTGCTGCCCTGTGCTGGACACAGTCTCCAGCGAGGCTCAGGAGACATTCCCTCACTCAAGGGAGCTGGCGTGGGTGCCTTTTGTCATTTCATATGCTTTTAGTGGGCACACATGGGCTACTGAGCCCACCTGCTTCAAAAACCAGGACAGTCAGAGGGTCTTTACCAAACAAGGAGCAGGAAGATGGTGCAGGATGCTCCAATCTCCACCCTGGCTCACCTCTCCTGCCCAACAACACCCAGGCCAGCTGGCAGAGCCCAGGGACAGAGGTTGTTTTCCACACATCAGTAGCAGTGATATTAATAGAAGCTTCTCAACTAGTTTATAGGTCTCCAAATTGTTGCAGTCAGTAACGTTCAGCGCTGTAATTTATTTTTGCAGGGTTCCAGTGCCATGTATTTGCTTCTGTGGCAGTTGCTCCAGCTGGATAATTGGAAGAGAGCAGTTTATAGCTCCTTGTCCCTTATCTTCACCACTGTGTTGGCACAAATCAATGCATGGATTGCATTAAGTGTGTGCTGGAGCACAGGACTTGCCACACTGGCCTCCAGCACAGGAGCCTGGGCAGCAGCAGCACCAGCAGCTCCCAAGGAATTATTTGCTGCTCTTACCAATTTCAGGGCTCGGGAAAGCACCGTGCCTTTCTGGAAGCTGAAGGTGCCCTTGGCAGGCATTAGAATTCCAATCAATATAAACAGCAGAACAAACTCAGCAACGTGTTCCAGCTCAAGGAGGACCACAGTGCTCCAGCACTCCTTCCCCTCCACCCTTCTGCCACCCCAAGAAATCCAGAAAATAATGAAGTTTTATGTTATTTTTGTACAGTTGATATTTTATCTTTAGTTGTTTATGTTTTATTTTCGGCCATATGGGTGAAACCTCTTTACTGGATAATCTCTCCTATAGATCATTTTAATTATTCTGTTAATGAAGCCAGATTTAATTTCAAATTCTAATGCCTTTTCTGCCTCTGTCATTCTCATACTATTGGTTTCCTTTTAAGTTGTCTTTATTCCCAGTGTAAAACTGGTTTTTAGCTAATGTGGCCTGGATTGACTTAGAGACAACCTTTGGATCAGGACAGTCAATCCACCATTGGCTTTGGCACATCTCAGGGAGCTTGTGCTGTCTTTATTTCCCTCCCTTTCTAAGCTGAAAGCTGTGGTCACTGGCTTTACAGCCTGAGCACACAGACATCCTTTAACCCCAGGAATGTGTTGCAAAGACTTCAGGAGAGATTTGCCCCGAGTTCTCCAAGCCCCCTCCCCAGAGAGTCCTCAGGCACATTGAATTCTCATCTGGTATCTCAGCACTTCCCTCCACACTCCTGTAAACAAGCAGCATTAAAACTGACAGATAATTGTACAAGTTAACTGATTTTTTTAAAATAAATCAGACTATTAAAACCTCTCTGTGACTCATTGATTAAAAGGCCTTATGGTTATGTGGCTCTTTTTGCTGAGGGTGCTTTTCTACAGTGAGTGTTTTGTCCTCTAATTTAAATCCAATGTGTTAGAAGTTAACAAATAATTATTTGAACACTTGGAAATTTGTTACAGTTAGTTGAGAAAGTAGGAAGGACTCTCACTGCTATTGCTAATTCCCAAATTTTCTTTGCAGACTTATCTGCACTAAACGAGAGGAGAGGCTCATTTCAGGCCACTGAGGTTCTCAAACTGCTAATTGGCTTGAAAGCAATCAACCCTTCATCCACCACTTTTAGCAGTTTGGGTGGAAAAGTTCTTTCAAGACACTGAGTTCAAACTGAAGGAAGCACTGTTCAGGCTGCTCTCTCCTCTGAAATACACCCTCAAACCCATCTAACCAGATGCCCAGGAAGACATAAAAATAAACCGCATTTCCCATAAACACATGCATTACTTCAGAACAAAGTGCTGGTTGCTGAGTATGCATTTTAAACCACTACAAACTCAAAAAAGGAGCTACTGACTCACTGCTGAATGTTCTGGGTTCCATGACACTACTAACAACACGGGTAACAATTAATAAAAATACAAATCTCTTCTTGCACAGATTAATGCAACTGTTCTACTGATAACCTGGCTCATGGTCACTGCTAATAGCAAAGAAGATAAAAATATCCATTTAAAAAAAAAAAAAAAAAAGATGATACAAGATAGTTTAGCACCCTTACAGAAAGAAAGGTCATCTATTTTAAACACAGCATTTGTAAGAGAGAATCTGTGGGTCTGTGTTGTCAACTGGAGATTTCAGGTCCACAGAGAGCAAAGACACGTCTGAAATTAGGAGATAAAAGGATTGCTTGTTTTCTAAACCGATGTGTTGGGTTCTACTCCAGGAAGAGCTGACCTTGTCAGTGTTTTGATCAAAACTCTTCTGGGGATGAAGGACCTTTAAAAACGCTGAAAACATCCCTCCCCAGCCTTCCTTACCCATTTTTATTTTGCCACTGCAGCAGCAAATGGAAGAAGTTGCAAAGTGAACACTTTGCATCCCCCTGAAGAAGCATTTCCACAGGTGGCAGGCACAATGCTCCCAGAGCAGCTCCCTGAGACAAGGGCACGGAGGGACAGGACAAGGGGAATGGCTTCCCACTGCCAGAGGACAAGGTTAGGTGGGATATTGGGAAGGAATCCTTCCCTGGGAGGTTGGGGAGGCCCTGGCACAGGTTGCCCAGAGAAGCTGTGGCTGCCCCATCCCTGGAAGTGTCCAAAGCCAGGCTGGATGGGGCTTGGAGCAACCTGGGCTGGTGGAAGGTGGAACTGGGTGAGCTTTAAGGCCCCTTCCCACCAAAACCATTCTGGAATTCTATAGTGCTGCAACTCCATGACTGCCCTGCCCTCTGCCAGCTCTGCAGGAAGGGAAGAGATTTAAAACTTTTGTCAATTTGGCTGGTGTGAACCTTGAAAAGTGCACCAAGGAGCCTCATCTTTATGGATGACAAATATCTGCGAGTGTTCCACAGCTCCACAGAGCTCTGCTGCTCAAAGACACCCAGAAAGGACCCACCTTGGCACCATGGCCCCAGCAGCACATCCCTCTGCCTGCATCACTACAGCAATATCAACTCACCCAGAGCCTCCAGCAGCAGCTGGAGATGGATGGAAGAGGTCAGGCAGACCTGGAGCAGTATAAGGAAAAATAGCAGCGCATAATCACTTTGGTCTGATCTATTAGTGCTTATTTTTCAGCTCATGCTCCATCTGCCACGTCTGCAAGTCGCCCGTCAGCAACTGTGTTACCTCCAACCCTGAATTGAGCACGATAGATCTGATTCATGTGGCCCACTGCAGCATTCCCCACTGCTGGGCAGGATTCCCAGGAGCAGATAAATATTCCTCAGTCAGTAACATATGCATTTAGAGATAGAATATGTCCTGTCGAGATCAGTGAGAGTTTTATCACCGACTTTGTGAAAATGAGATCAAGCCCTTACTTGGAATATAAATGATGACTGAAAACTGCCAAACTCCTAGAGCACATCATAAAACTCGGTATCAGTAACTACCTGCAGCCCAGCTCTGTGGAAATCTGACCTTTGGGTGTGTGGCTGCATCACTTCCATCCCCAACACATGCCTATAACCTGCTGTAATCCTGCTCTGGACTGACTTCATGCTTTGACAGATTGTTTGCTTAAAAATCCCAGACTTTTAGTATCAACTGTAGTCTTATTCCATTGTTTAATCACAAGAAAATCTGTGTGGCTCCAGTGATGCCTATATATTTTTGGATTTTTAGCT